ACGCTGCAAACATGTTATAAATATAAACTCTGGCCTGTAAATCGTTTCTATTTTGTTTTTGTTGTTATTGTTGCTTTTCTGCAACAGATGAATAAAAATGTATTAGTTTTTTGTGTTTTATTCATAAATATTTCTAGTTTGCGGAAGTCCCGCGAATCGTTTTATTCTCACACACAGAGTGAGTGCATTACCGCCCGCCCCGCGCTCGCACTCGGCCATCAAATCTAGTCCCGCGCCACACTCTATTTGAGTAAGCTTTCCGGACTGCGCAACTGGGTTATAGGTTGCCAGGTTGAGATGACAAACGGGTTGAAATTGTATATGGTGTGTGGATTGTGTGAATATAATGCATTTAATACAAGATCTGGCAACTGGTCAACATTAGACAAACATATTGGTCCGATTATTCATAAAGGAGTTTGGACCATTCAAATTACGGGAGTTTCCCGGGAGAAAGAACAAACCGGGAGAGGTCCGGGAGATAAGGCTAAAAAACGGGAGAAACCCGGGAAAAACGGGAGTGTTGACAGGTATGGGGCTAACTTTTAGATAAGGCTGGGTATAGGAGTGCGTGTGCGGAGCGGCTTCTCAGCAAGGGGTGCTCTGTTTCCGCTATAGTTCGGAGGCCTCACGAGCGCTGGACTGGTGTCTGCTTTCTCTCTTTGGCAACCAGCGCCAAAGCCTAGACCCTGGGGGAGGGTCTCGTATCCTGGGAGAGTTAAGTGTTTAACTTTTAGCGCGTGTGTGTGTGCGTGTGCGCGCGCGTGTGTGTGGTATTAAATTTGGCAGTATACATTTCATGACGGGGTGGGAGGGTTATGATGAACAGAATGCTTATGTAGTAGTCTGAGGGCGTCTTGGGTATGACATTTACGTGCATTGTGAACGTGTGCAGTGTCCTACAGGGGTGATTTGTGTGCTATAGCTTTTACCTATTTATGGCGTGTGTGTTAATTTTGGTACGGCTTATTTATTGCGGTGCTCTCTGTGTAGCATGCTCCAATGTGGTGTTGTTCGCCCAGGCTGATTAACATTTGTGTTTGGGACTTCAAGAGCCTGACCCAGTCTGACATGTTTGGTAACTGCATGAATTATATTGAATAAAGATTACCGTTTCTACTTCTGTGGTGCTGCTTGCTTTGTAGAATAGATTCCTCTAGCCCTAACAATCTGACCTCACCCTCTAGGTTTATTACAGTAATATTACAACCGCATGGATGCTCCAGAGCTGGTGGTGGAAGCAGAGATAATAATGGTTGTTTAGCAAGACAAAGATAGTCAAAGTACATAAACATGTAATTAAAAGTACACTTTTTTTTACAAAGCTCTCTAATTGCAATTTTGGTAAAAATCAGCATCATTGGAAAAAGCACCTCTACCTGCAGTTTTGCAAAACTCCAAACATACCTACAGTACTGTAATTTACTTCAGTTTCCAGCTGAAATAACCACTAGTGGCAGTAAAACACCAACTTCAAACAATCCTTTTCACACAAGTTATGAGATTATTAATAAAGACTTGTGCGCGGTTCCTTGCACAATACTATGTTATGAGCTCAAAACACATTTAACATAGCACATGATTTGTAAACTAATATACATTTTGATGTTTGCATTAATCACCTCAATATATATGGATTTTCTGATGTAGTAATTGTACATGGTCACACTGCCACAAGGTTCGATAAAAGAGCTCAAAGACTTAAAGAAGAAAGCTAGAATGCCATGGTTGCTTCTGCCAATGTGTTTTTAATGTAAGTGGTTTAGTGTACGTTATTTTCAAAGCAATAGAGCATTAATCTCTCTGCGCCACTCACTGGGCATTTAATTTCTGAACTACCGCGTGCATAAACAACCAACATATTAAAACATGGCCAGATTCATAAATAAAAATTGCCACTCACTGGCTTTGAAAGTGTTGCGAAATGTGCAAGAAGTATTAAATGTGCATAATAATTTTGCCAAAAATGTCGTCAGTCACATTTTTCCCAATGAGCCCAGGTTGGTGAAATACATTATAAAGCAAATGTTAAAATCAGACAAAAAAACTAAACAAAAAACAGCTTGGCTACTTGGCAAACTTGATCTGTCTTCCAGGTCTTTTCAGGTCACAGCTGCTTTATCTGCACTAGTAGTAGGAGACCAGTGGTTAACAAATATTCAGTGTTTTCATTGCTCAGGTCTTAAAATGGTTGTTGGAGGCCAGTGTTGTTTTACCTCAGTCCGTTCATGGTTATGCCCTGTGCAGAACATGTCTCGATCTCATACCAGATCTAGTATTTAGATGAGTCAGTGCATGCATGCCATGTGACTGAGCTTTCAGTTTAACTACAGTGAAAAATGTGGTGTAACGACTACAGATAAGTTTCACAAGTAGTTTTCTCACAGAAACAGTCTCTAACTCTAAATCTCTCACTGTATGGTTTTGGCCATGATTTGGCCGTCTGAGACAAATTTGGCAAATACTAAAAGATTCCTCTGATCCTAGGCTAAAATCTGAAGTTTTTAAACATTAGTTTCACAAGTTCACCGACAGCCTATTAATGATTGTTGCGATCAAATTTGACCTCTCAGAAGACTTGACTCGCAGTCCTGCAGTGTGACGTTTCCTACGACGACCGTCAAATTGTCTTAGTTTTTCAAGACAAGCCATAACCAAAATTAACATTAGAGATTTCTTTGTAGTCACCATTTCAATCCCACTTGTAATGCAGCTCAATGTCACCGAACGTGTCATTGATTGATGATGTAAAACTCTGGACGAGTTTTCTTGTGTGGGTCTGTTTTTAATGCTCTGAATCTATTCTTTCTGCTAATCACAGGTGATTTATTTTGGCTTATGCACACCTGTATTAGCTTTGAACATCACATCCCGTGAGAACACTTTCCCAGACTCTTCACTGCCCGGTCCCGGACATGGCCGTTTCATTCTGAGTCACTGTGGTCTAAACTGAGAAAGAAAAACGACAAACCTGTGGGCACGACACCTCACCTTCTTAATACCATGTTGGGTTCCTTCGCAGAAAAAACAACGCTTTGTACCTGATTAGTGAAACTTTCAAATCAGGTTTTGGTGCTGAAACCCCTGTGCGTATGGGCAACTTTCACCACAAGCAGACTTGGCACAGTTTCTTGAGAAAAGTTAGAGCACAAGACTGCATTTGTACATCTGTTATTTAAGGACATTTTTCCCACAAATTGAATTTACACAATGTGAAAGAAAAAAGTGACAACATTAGGTTACACCAGCAAAAGTCATTTTTAACGGGTCAGATCAGGTTTAAATAGCTAACAATTGTTGCAATGTTCTTACAACATATCTGCAATCCTCATCAACACCAGTGACCATTTACTCCTGAGTTGTATTGAGTAAAGATCTGTTTAATCCGGGTTTCAAAAGTGCTGTGCCTTATGACAGGAAACATACAGAAGGAACTAAGAAGGAAATAAAAGTCCAGAGAAGAACAAGAGAAAGTGGAAGTGTTTTCAAACCTGTCCTGGAGCACCCAGGACTGCACATTTTATGTCTCCCTCATCTAACTCTAACGCAGGGTCAACATAGTAGGGATCCATGTGCAGCTTTATTGTAAAACAGGAAACGAGGATGCACAAATAAAAAATGAGAAGCACCCAGTGCTGGGGGTGCTCCAGGACAGGTTTGAAAACTCCTGGCCTAAGGCCTTAACTCCAAATTGGATTTTCCAAATCTGTTGTATCTGACTGATTATTATACAATATAGTGGTGTTATAAATAGTTGGGGGGCAACTCAGGCTAGTTGTCACATAAAGAAGTTATCTACGTAACTATAAGGTTCTGAGTAAAAGTCCTATTACCCTTTTGTGGTTTTATATGATGGTTTCAAACACTTGGTTTTCAAATTCCTCAGGGTATTTCTGTCAAGGGGCAGGTTGTCACATGGGTTTTATATGTTATAAATGTACTCCAGTCTATTAATTATACGGTCATTTCTATTGATCAAAATAATGGAGTATTCAGACAGACAATGATATAAAGTGCAATCAATGACATGACCAACACTGGACAGTTAATCTTCATGTCACAGCTGTTTATTACTGTTCACGTGACAGTTAACGGGTATTCGGTGCTCTGAGGTATGTTTAGTTCTAGAGAAAGTTAAATCAAAACACCCAATGAGGGGAATTCTTGTACATTACGTGAACATGAAATTAACATTTTTTGTTTCACTTTCCTCTTGTTGTTTTTTATTCTGTTGGTTTCTCTTCCTCCTCTTAAAGCCCTAGTAGTTCTAGTATTCCTATATTAAATTATATTGAACAAACAAGCATAATAGGTGAGTTGACTTATTGCATTTTTTAGTTCAAATAGGCCTACAAAAATCTGTTAGTGTTTTAATCCGTGCGTTATTAATTACTATGGTTACAACCGTTTGCCAGGTTTATTTACATAATTGTCATTGATTTTGTTGTCACATCTAGTAATGTATTGTCTTGTGATGTGCTTGTTCCTGTTTTTAAGAGATCAGTTTCCCTTGTTTTGTGTACCCTATTGTTGTGTTTCATGTACCATGTGTCTCATGTGTAAGTCTTAAGGTATATAAATGCCATGTATCATGTCGATGGTATAAAACAGTATTTGCTCCACATTAAATCTGAATGATAATGAAAGCAGATTTTTAGTCTTGACAATTTAAGTTGAGTCAAGACATATATTTAAATAATTAATAATCTACACTAATAAACACTTGACTTCTGTCTAATAAACACGTCATGAAGTTTTTCTTCATGCTTTTTCTTTTACCAACAGTACATGGTGAAAGCAGCCCCAAGTCAAAAGGTTTCATCTTTTGAGTCATGGGCGTATGTAATAACAATCCACATCTCCATAAAGCAACCTCAGTCAAATGACAAATGCAGCAGTTCAGAGCAGAAGGCAACGTATCTGTTTTTCTCCAAAATGCATTTTTTTTGTACATCTTCTTTGCAGAATTGTCATATGACATCGACGTGTGGAGCCTCGGAAGGGGCTGACGTAACTATCCCCTGACACGTGACTTTGTGGTTTTATAAACTAGTTAAAGACAGCAGGGGAAGCTTATTCATCACTGAACCGTTGTAATACTCTTGGTTATCGGTTGTGATTCCAAGAAAGAACATGGATGTCTCTACAACCTCAGACTGTAAGTATCAAAAATCATGATTTTTTTATTTATTTTTATTTAATATGATTGTGTATATAACACATTGTTTAAAGACTTTAGGAATATTGGCATATTAGGCCATTATGTGAGACTTTTTATGAACTGTTAGCTGCTTCGGTCTTATATGTGATGAATTTATATCATTAAATCAATGTCATTTGAAAATATTCTGTGTATATATTGCCTGAGTGATTTGTGGTTACATTAAACAACAGTTTGTTTGTTAATTTATTCATTCATTGCTGAAGGGCTTTGAAGAGACTGTTTCACTCTTCCATATATTTTCTAATCACATGTTTTGTCTCTCAATAGATGAAAGTGATGCGTTTAATTTCACAGATTTGACAGACTTGGTGAGTATTATTATATATATATATAATATATATATATATATATATATATATATATATATATATATATATTATACTATTTTTACACTCAGTAAATATAGTATTATTATAATTTTTTTTTGGTCAAATTCTGGCGTAAAAGTGTTCTATTTTGCGTATTTGGGTAAAAAAAGTTTTATGACATACAGTATATCTAGTCAAATTTGGCATCAGTAACACTTTTAAACTTTAAAGTTCTAAGATATCATCAAGCTATTTTGTCATAATGCAACTCTTCAAGTCAAAATTGAAATGCTGCCCACAGCAAATGTTATCAGTAAGCAGAGGTTAAGCTCTGTTTCTTTTAGTGCTGCATGCTTTTCTGGAAATTTGATGTGTCAGTCAAGTGAAACTACTTATACTAACCCATATCTTTGTCCCTTATTATTTGATGCTCCTCTTGGATTGAGATCATACAGACAGATTTGGCTGTTACCACATTGTGCAGTTTTTAAACAACACAATGAAAAGATTTTCCATGGTGTGCGTCACATATCCTTTATCTGTTATCTGTATGTATGTCAGGATGGAACAGAATCTAGTGTTTGACATGCTCCTAAGGGGCTGTGTTTATGTCGACCCCCAGGGCGGGTGACGCTCTATCTGTTTGTGCACGCTTCAGAAATGGGTTAAAAGAGGATGTGGATGCGGTGTACTTGTGTGGTTTCTCCAATAGAGACACCTGCACCTGATCTGAGCTGCGGAACATGTTTCGTAAATTTAGATTGTCAAAGTTCGCAGGGGCGTGATGTCACACTGATTCACACTTTACTGATCAACTGGATTACAGCTGCAAAATGGTGAGAGACTGTTGTACCACTGTAGACAGGAAGTGGCTGTCAGTTGAGTGGAAGATCAGTCTGAAAAGACAGTGGGAAACAAATTTCTAAGCTTCATAGGCAGCATTCTGAGAGGATTTAGATGAAAAGCTAATAAGAGAATTTAAAGGAATATTAAACCCCAATATCTTTTACTCACCCTCATGTTGTTTCCATCCCATATGACTTTCTTTCTTCTGTGGAACATGAAAGAAGATATTTGGAAGAATGTACATCCATTTTCTTTACTTGAAAAACAAAGGCCAGTGTGTCCCCCAAAACTTCTCCTTTTGTGCTCCACAGAGGAAAGAACATTCCTTTAGATGATTGGTATGTTTTGTTTTTAAGTAAATCTGTAAATCAAATGAAATGGACAGTGCACAGAATTCGAAGTCCCTGAATATATCTTTTTTATTTTTATTTCAGACAACTGATACTGATGACTATGAATCAGACCTGGGTGGATTATGTAACAAAGAACTAGTGCGAAAGTTCAGTAAGACCTACGAACCCCCTCTCTACTGGATCATCTTCGTTGTGGGGGCTTTGGGCAACCTACTAGTCGTCTGTATCTTCACAACTGTGAGAAACCGGCTCAAAACCATGACCGACGTCTACCTGCTGAACCTGGCAGTGGCTGATCTTCTCTTCCTTGGTACATTGCCCTTCTGGGCAACAAATGCTGCTCAAGGCTGGGTGTTCAGCCAGGCCATTTGCAAAGGAGTTTCTGCAGTCTACAAGATTAACTTCTTTGCCAGCATGCTCTTACTCACTTGCATTAGCGTGGACCGTTACATCGCCATCGTCCACGTAACCGAAGCGCACAACTACAAAATCAAACGCATGCTGTATAGTAAGATAACTTGTGTGTTTGTGTGGCTCGCCTCTTGCCTCTTAGCTCTACCTGAATTTCTCTTCGCCAAAGTGAAAAATATAAGCCCCCAGCTCAGCTCCTGCGTCATGGTATACTCGATCACAGACAACAACCATACTAAAGTCTTGGTGTTGGCTTTACAGATCTGTGTTGGCTTCCTACTCCCATTGCTGGTCATTGTTTTATGTTACTCAGTCATTATTCGTAAACTCATGCTGGCTCGAAGCTTTGAAAAACACAAAGCTCTGAGGGTCATCTTTGCAGTTGTGGCTGCTTTTGTTCTCTCACAGTTGCCGTTAAATGGATATCTGATTATAGAAGCAGGCCAAGCCAACAATGCCACAATAACGGACTGTGAAGTCGCGCAAAGCTTAGATATGGCTGGGCAAATTGTGAAATGTCTTGCCTACACACATTGTTGCCTGAATCCTTTTCTGTACGTCTTTATCGGGGTTCGCTTCCGGAAGGATCTCTTGAGCCTGCTTCAGCGCATGTCCTGTAGCCTAGGACTGGCCGACAACAGCAAACTCCAACAAGTTCCCAAGAGGCCTTCTGTTATGTCCGACACTGACACCACCCCTGTTTTTTCTTTATAGACCTGTCTACTGTACTTACTGTATCGACAACTTTTTCAAAAGCTTTGTCTTCATCTACAGAGTGTGTCATTTGCATGGTAATGGCACGATAGACTTATTTTTCAGAGTTATAGTTCCTTATAACCACAAACTTATTGTGCAAGGTCTATGAAATGTGCTTTATCATGGTACTATTCCTGTATAGTTCTCTGGGAGTACATGATGGGATATTGTGGAGATTTATGTACATAAATTCTGTTCATGAGCTTTTAACCAGTATTCTGAGGATGCTTTTCATACTTTTCTAGCAAAGAAATTTTGCAAAAATATTGTAAAGTGTACATATAATTTGAGATTTTGTTGAGTGTAATGGATTTCAATGTGCATTAAAAAAGTGGGATAATAACATGTTGAGGTCTGATTATTTTTTAATTTTTTTTAATTTATGACTGTACAAACAGATGATGTGCCACAAGACACAACCGCAAGAAATAAATGGCATGAATACAGCTTGCTGATAGAATCTGACAGAAAGCTTGCTAAAAATTCTGCTTGGTTCTGAAAATAATTTATCGGAATAAATCAGGATTCACCTACAGGAAAGTAAATATATAGAAGTGTTTCATGTTTTAAAAGGATAGTTCACCCAGAAATTAAAATGGTTATAATTTACTTCCCTTCATATCGTTCCAGACCGTATAATTTTTTTTCTTCTGTGGAAAACAAAATATTAATTTTTATGAATAACCTGGCCCTGGTTTTAAAAACATATTTCAATAATATTTCCAATTCATTTATAAAATTTAGCAAATTATATTTTTTATTAATAATGACCTTGCTCATAAACAAATTATCATACATGATTTTCAAGGCCCCCAGGTCTTGTTTTTGTTCACATGGTGTTTTTTAGCTGTGTGTAACGTATTTTCTGTGGTAATTGAAAAGTTTCTGAATGTGGCTTCTGTGCACTGCCATGTCTTCACTATGACTGTTATGTCTGGTGTGGATTGAGAAAATATTGAATAATGAAAAAAGGTCTGGTTGGCATGCATTGTGGGTTATGGTAAAGCAAAAGTGACACAGCAGTTTCAGACCGTTTTAGATGCATATTGAGACCATGCATGCAGAGTATATTGCAATGACATATCAGCTGCCACAGCAGAGTTATGGAACTGTAGAAAAAGGGTGGAAAAGGGTGGAGAAGGCCATTGTAACAAACGTTGTGGATCGCTGTAGGTTAATACTCAACAGGATTTGATGCAGAGAGATACCGGTACACCTTCACAATTTGAATCTGGCAACTTAAAAAAAAAATGCTGGCAGGGGAAAAGTTAAAAAAGTGAGAATTTTTCCTTCCTTGCAAATAAAAACAAAAAGAAAATAATGAAAACTGATTACAGCAGTTTCAAATAAACATTTCACAAAAATGTGTTCTTTATAAAGGACCTCTTGAGTTTAGTTACTTTTTGAGGTAAGATACTATCTTATATATTAATTTCTATTCACTTATTTTGAATGCTATTTATTACTATTCATAATATTTTCTCTTCCAATCAAATAACTCTTTATTACTATTTTAAAACCTAATTTATTTATTTTTCCTGGAGCCAAATTAGCTGTATTAATTAATTTATTCTATTAATTTGGTTAATTAGATTACTTTCTCGTTTAGTTAAAACTTTAATCTTCTCTAGTTAAACCTTTTTCTTTACCTTACCTCACCTTTGGAACCAATTTCACTTGTTACTCAATATTATTCAAAATATAGCCTTTGGATTGCTTCTTGAATCCCTTTTATAAAACAATTAAAAAAGAGAAAGGATTCACAGGTAAGATGACCTTATTAGCATCAACTAAATGCTCATTCAATTTTGATGTTCTTGTGTAATGCATACAAAGTGTCCAATGAAGAAGCAAATTGGAACTTAAATTCAGTCCCAATATGATTGTTAACTCTTTTTTTCTAGTTTTCCGCTCCCACTCTGTGTTTCAGCACTCTGTTTGGTTTATAGAACAATATAGTCCTAGAAGTTGGTGTGGCACCGGAATAGAATACAGTTCTTGTTCACTACTGAGGTAAGTGTTCAGTGATGTATAAATGTATAGTCCTACTACTACAAATTGTAAGATTGGTTGGCTGGCCACATGGAGGACGATTCCCACCGCAGTGACGTAAACGTGCCCCCCGAACATAGAGGGCACAAGCTACTCCGCATTATTTCAAGGCAGTTGAAGAGCCTGGTCTGAACAGGTCCCTCTCCTACAGAGCCAGAACGAAGCAGGCTGCTTCGTCGCCAGAGTGCCAGCCCCCAAAGGCCCATCCCGTTCTTTCCTGAGGTGCATGATGAGGTGTCCAAGATGTGGCATGCCCCGTATTCGGCTCATCCCCACATCTTGGGCTCGTCACTTCTTTCTTCTGCGGATAGCGCTGATCTTCGGGGCTATTCTAAACTCCCCCCGATTGGGGAAGACATCAAACATACAAATATGCGTACAACGTCTCCTTTTTTCAGCTTTTAGCGTGGCTCTAGTAACCTGGTTTACACCATGACAACGTCACTGACACAAATATTTATAAATTATTTCATAATCACAGATTGGTTGTTTTTGTCCTAACAACAAAATATATGATGGTGTTTCAAAACCTACTGTGCAATACATGAACATATTATTTAAACTATATAAAAATACAGTCGTATACAGGTCAATAATCATGAACCTAAATTTAATATTTCAAAAAATGAAAACACTTCTCATTTGTTAACATTAGTTAATTAAAAATAAACTAACAATGAGCAATATATTTTAAAACTTTTATTAACCTTTCTTAATGTTAGTTAAAATTGTAATGTTCATGTTAGTTCACAAATGTTAACTGATTCAATTTTTGATCTTAAGAAATGTATTAGTAATTGTTGAGATTAACATTAACTAAGATTAATAAATGCTGTAGAAATATTGTTCATTCTTAGTTCATGTTAACTAATGTAGTAAACTAATGTTAATGATGCATGTTAATGTAATGAAAATAAAATCTTATTGTTAAGTGTTACCAAAAAATATATAGGCCCTATACATTTTATTTCTCACTAAAGTGGTTACAATTTATATATTCATAAGATCAATTTATCAATTTACTATATTCATTGCAATTTTTAGAAATGTCGTTGTGTGTTTTTCTTTGTGGTATTGATAACATTCTTTTTCCAAAGCAAGAGACAAACAAGTATGATGTTATTGAGGTTTAGAGAGAGGCTGTATCCTGCAGCCTTCAGGTGAGACCACAGCTTCAACACTAACATCTATCCATCTGCTTTCTCTCTGTCACACTCCACTGTCTTTCTCTATCTCGTTCACTTTCACACTCTCTTCGCTTTACTTTCTTCTCACGACAGGAAACTGTCAGTCATGTCAACAATGTTCTGTACACATGCTAATGCTATACCTGTGCTTCTATGCTAACACCATACCGACAATATGTGAATTACTGAAATATGGGAACTTTTCTAGAACTCTTTTTGGGGCCCATCCCTTCTGAACTGAACCTCAGAAATTTAGAAAGTATTTCTAAAATACTTTAGCACTTTTTGAAGTAGTCATCACAATGAGTAAAAGTAAAAAAGTGAGAATGCTGTACACCAGAAATGCTAACTGTGTTTGTAAGAGAACTGTCAATCAGAGTTTCAGTTCAGGTGTGTCTCATTAGTCTCATTAGTTCCTCTGTTTGCTGTTTATTTAAGCCTTGTGTTTCTTTCAGTTCTTTGTCAGTTCTACGTTGCATTAAGTTGGTTGTTCTGTTCTTGTTTTTGTTCTTGTTCCTGAGATTGTTTGTGACATTCTGAGTTTGTTTTTGAATAAAGCTGCTGCACTTACTGTAGATCCTGTTTCATCTCTGCTGCAACCACCTTGTAACAATCGCTCTGTTGCAGAATTTCAACCCCTTCAACATTGATTTCATGTGACAATATTAGATCTAAAGTATGATTACGATAATGAGTGGGTTCTGACACGTGTTGCCAATCCCAATGCGTTTTTTTTTTCATTATCTACATGGATATTAAAATCACCAACAATTAGGACTTCATCTGCAGCCAGTACTAACTCTGATAGAAAATCGGCAAATTCTTTGATAAAATTTGTATGGTGCCCTGGTGGCCTGTGCGGATGATACTGAGCTCTATTTCTCTTCGCGCCCCGACGAAACTTGCCAATTCAAGAAATTAACGGAATGCATAGCTGATATAAAAAATTGGATGACTAGTAATTTCCTTCTACTTAATTCTGAAAAAAACAGAGTTCCCTTTCAAGGGAACTCGCGATGCGTCATCGACGCTTTGGGAACGCCCCCAGCGTGAATGCGTCTGAGCATCAATGTCAACTAGTCCAATGGAAAGAATGAGCGTCACGGGCGGGTGACGTCATGACCAGGAAGGGATAAAGCACATCCGGTGAAAACCGGCATTAGCTTCTGTGTCTCAGCAAGCGATCTGTGTTACTCTGTCTCTGTCTATTTATTGTTGTCTGTTCGATATTATTGGGAAGAGTTATGGCGAAACAACTTTACAGACTCTGTGCTTCTCCCTGCCCGCGTTATTTAACGGGTGGGGACACGCACGAGCTTTGTGTAGTTTGTTTGGGAGTGGAGCATGCGGTGTCAGCCTTCGAGGGGGCTGATTGCCAGCATTGCGAGATGCTTCCGCTCCGCATGCTCCGCTCTCGCCTGGCGCTTTTCGAGGAAAGTGGCCAGGCTCGCGATCCTCAGGGTGCAGGACCCGCGTCTGCCGAGGCAGCGCGGAGAATGCATTCCTGTGGATCGCGAATAGGATCTCTTTACGGGGTTGGAGACGGGTCCGCGGATCTTATCTCCTCCCTTTCCACGAGGGATCCAGTGCTCTCTCGCCGGTCTCGGAAGCCCGCGCTGCGGTCTCTTCCGCCCGGGGAGAGAAATCAATCCTTCAGTGCTCCACCTCCGAGGAGGTAGATGTGCTGGGCATTGAAAGTGACACAATCATGGGGGAAGTGGATTTGCCATCTCTTCCCCAGCGTATGAGAAATATATATAGCCTATATATATATATATATGATAGTTTATACATTATATATAAAAAAAAGTGAATATATATAAAGAATGTATATATATAAAAAATAATAATAAGCTGGTGGAGGTGTTTACTAAGGCTGTAGATAAATTAAATATTTAATGGCCAGCAGAAATAAGGGGGCACTCGTCCTTAAAATAAATTGAACGAGTTTCCTTCCCTCTATTTTTCCACCTCCATCACGGGGCCTTCCATTTTTCCCGATCTGCACAGCGAGCTGTCTAGATCATGGAAAAAGCCTTACTCATTTTTTAGCCCCACATTCATGTATATTCAGATATTTGGGGGTTAAGAGAGTATGGCTATGGG